AAAAAAAAACCATAACATTGTCATAGAAAATACAAATATTTAAAATTTTTCCGTGTGGAAATATCCATTTTCTTTCCTTCTTTGGCGGCGAAAACAATTTCAATAACAATGTAGCCGGAAAACAATGCGTGCGAAAGGCTTCCTCGACGTTTTAAGAAGCTTTTGCTATTGCCTTTGTTTTCTTTCAGTGTTTGCTTGTGGTTGTGTGAGTGTTTCTTTTCCTTCTTTTTGTTATTGTTTTGTTGATGCATGCAATTCACACTATGGTTGTTTACTCCTTTTTGTTGTTCGCTCCTAAATGAAAGTGGAGGCACAGTTTCTGCCTCTTCCTTTCCTTTTGGGTGGTTCGCCCCCAATGGTGATGATGTTTTAATTACATTTTATAATTATAGTTGAGTGGTTCCATCATTTAAAACTTCGGTTACTTTCAACAAGCTAACGATCAAATTTGCGCTGTCAAAAATAAAACAAACCTAAAAAGTAAAAATGCATTTAAAACGACTACATTCTAATTACAATGTGCAGAAATTGAGTCTTTTAATTTGAAAGTACAAATTAGAACAAGTCTTTTTGCGAAAATTTGGCATTTCTGATATTTAGGGAATTACACTTCAAAATCGAATTTCTGTGCGAATTCTCAATTTTCTGCAAAGTCATTTTCCGAAAATTTCATAAAATATGATAAGAAATCGAAAAAAATGACAAACCCAGTTTTGAAAACAGATATAAACCCACAATAATTTTGAAGTATGCCACTTCGAAATCGGATTTATGTGAGAAAAGTTATGGTCTTAGAAGTGCAGGTTTTTTATCACTTTTTTAATTCACTACTGTTTGTTGTCAGTGCTACCAAAATAAAGCACTGAAAACTTATCTTTACGCTGCTATAAATAGTGAAACCCCTAATTATTTGAAATTTGTAAGTCTAGTTCAGACATTGTTTTAATTTATGTATGCGCTGCAACTCATTCTTTTTGGGGCAAAAATCCAAAGCTGGCAGCAGCATTCCTTGCGTGTTTCCTGCTTGCCCTTTATCTTTGTCCCGCTTCCGTTTTCCGCCTTTTCCTTCATGCTTTTGCCACATTCCATTAGATATAATAAATACCAAAATGCGATAAAAAAAAAAGGGCGGGCAAAAGAAATTAAAGATGCAAAGCAATGTAAAGCTTCTACAAAAATACAGAAAAGGGCAAAATTTGCCCAGCTTGTTTGTTGTGACTTCAATCTAGTACCATATATGTATGTATGTAAAACAACTCACACTAGAAATTGGTTTAAAAATGTCAAATGAACAGCATTCCTCTCATGCTGTTTTGTCCTGTCATCAAAACCAACCCGAAAGCAAACGAACTGAAAAGCGCCAGAGAAGCTATTTGTTTTCTTGTTTATAGTCTCAACTTCAGTTCAGTCAGAACTTCAGAGATACAAATTAAACAGCTTACAAGTCCTTTGTTCTTTTTTTTAATGTTTGATCAAAACGTAATTAAAAAATATTGAGATATAGATTCGTATTCATTGTTACGAAATAGCTGTTAAAACAAAAGTATTACATAGACACTTAATTATTTTTGTATTAAAGCTTAATTTGAACACTTAATTATTTTTTGAGAGTCCTCAGTGTGTCTTGCTTTAAGGTTCCTTGACCATTTATAATAATATTTGCTCAAACAAAAACAACATATTGTAATTAATTTTAATGGGGATATAATTCCTGATAAGGCTTTTCAATCTATTCTGCTGGATTTTCAATCAAATCAGTTAAATAGTTTTGGGATCCGTTTTGTAAGCATGGATACTAGCTTACAAAAAACATCTCTACTCCGATTTGAAGTGTACCCTTTGGCATATGCGACGGTTTATTTTATGTGCTCGCGTTTATACCCGATTCCACATCCACATCATCGCCTTTATCTTTATCGTCATTAAACGGGACTCGTCATTACTGCCATAAAACTTTTTTTTTTGGTTTTTGTTCTTGTGTGGTTCCTGTCGCAACTTTTGCCGCTGCCACTTGCCCTATCTCCATCTTATTCTTTCACTCATTTACCATCTCTTTCTACGGCTCATTTTCCGTCTTTTTCGCACTGTCTCACTGTCTTTGAATGCTGCTGGCATTGGCCTTTTAGTTGATTTCCGTCCGACACGCTGCCTTGTGATGACATTGTTTTTATGACACGACCCCCCAGTTTCACTAGTTTTCTCAACCGCTTTTCCTCCGCCGACTCATTTCACCTACAGACAAAAGGATATGCCCGCCATATAAAAGATATATGTATGGTAAATGTGTGTATGTCGTGCATAACTTTGTCGGGGTTGGGCTTTTGTGCGATTCTGATCCTATTGCAACAAATAACATAAAGGCTTTGCCACGACGTAGTGATGGATAATGGCTGTGCTGTCAATCAGCCACCGATGTGCTATATTGACAGAGACATCGGTGTCATAGATCTACGTTGTGATTGCCGTTACACAAGCGCAGCATTTAGGTCACACAAATATTGCCTTCGTTACTAATTAATTTCAGTATTGAAGGAAAATTAATTATTTTTGGAATACATAATAATATCAATAAGTTCTAGAGCGACATTAACATAAATTAATTTTTGTTATGATAGAAGCAATAGTCACTTTTTAATAAGTAAACTTTTAAGATAATTTATTGTGAGTGATTATTTTAGTATTATGAAACGAGCTGAATCTACATTTTCCAATTTTTGTATTCATGTTTATATATTTACTTAACTATCATGTATATGAATTGCTGTAATCGACCAAAAATCACAAACAGGTCTGATTGATTTGAAAACATCCATTTGCATTGAGGTTTGCGGTAGCTTGTCATTCAGTTACAATGTGATTAAATTAAACTGACAAAAATACAGCAATGCCAATAAAATGATGTGAACTGTTTATATTAATTAAAACAAAAAAAATAACTAGATGAATCAACTAAAAGCATTTACGCATTATTTCGGGAGAGATTACGATGTGAGGTATAAATAAAATGGCTCATCATGAAGCATAGTTCAGTTCTTAATCTATATAGTTTAAAATATGACGCAAGCTAAAAGCAAAACAAAATCTTTAGTTTCAAAAATACAAATATTATCAGCAAAAATAAATGATTTGGAACTTTTCGTCTAAAATTTTCGAATCAAATACAGTGTATTCATCAATTTTAATTTTTTGTATTGATCATAAATGGATTTATACAAAGAGCATTGCCGTAATGCATTTAAAAATTAAAACTTTAATATTTGAAGCGTTTAAAACCTTGTTTCCTTTATTTTTTGGCCCACTAAACTGGCGGCTGTGAGAGTGTCTTATAATACCACAAAAAAAAAACTGATTTCGAGGGGTTGGGCACAACATTAGCGGCTCGTTGGCGAAAACGCTGCCAAACCCCCTTATAATGTACCCTGACCTGCAGGGTTCCAATGTGTGTTTACCTTTCTCAAAGCGCAGGCTCGCTGTTTTCCATACCATCCACCGACCTGCCCCACCCTCTCCATCCGGTCGACCTGGTCGACACCCTTGACAAACATTCAGAAATATAATTCCATAACAGTACAAATATTATTTTGTCTGTGCAAAAAGAAAAGCTTGAAAACTTACACAGTTTTATTCAGCTTAAATTATTAATATTTAAATTATATATAAATTTCATCCATTATATATTAGTCTTTTGCTTCATAAAATGTGGTAAAGTTTACATAATATTTTAATTATTTCCGTTAATTAAAATTTCAAGCGATTATTATATAAAAAAAAAACTTTTTATTCCTTTTCAAATGTTTATGGGTTGGTTTTCTTGGAGTGCATATCCCTTTGTAGCCAAACTGTTGGCATTTTCCTTTTTCGGGGCCTGTTTTTTTTTAATTGCTTGGAAGGAGCACGTCACGCGAAACGCTGAAACTATATAATATGGCGAAAAGGAAGTGGAAACCGCAATCAGAGAGTGCGGCCTGGGTTTATAAAGTAATTCATAAACGGTGACAAGGGGAAAGGTGGAAAGTAAATGGTAAAATGGGCGGAAACAGGGGGCAGTGCAATTAACTCCCGAGGGCAACTGCAGTTTCCGTGGATGAGTGTGTGCCCATTTTTACCTATGTGCTGCATTCCCAAAACGGCCTAAAACACGAATAATTTATTCTAAACTGAAGTAAAGCGATAGAAGCGAGAGATTAAAAATTCAATTTGCAAATGGCAAAATATGGGGAAAATGGAAATAACGCCACTAAATACCAACATCAGCGGAGGTTCGTCGCGGTCCATCTAAATTTAGATCGATTTTCCCCGTCCGATGGTATTTGCTTTTTATAGACTTTAAGTAAATGGATTCGCAAGCAGAGGTGCTAAATTTAGTATTACCAAAAGCAAACAGTCAACAATCTGGGGTACACAAAACATCAGGTTACATTTCCAAATCGATCCAAAACGTGCCAGATGCCCCATTAGCCGCATTTTCATGTTCGAGGGTCGCTCTATGCGCTTACCAAACGACTTTCCCGCGGGCTGAGTACGTTGTTGATTTTTTCCTTTTTTTTGGCATATATGCAAATCTTTTACTGGAAAAAACAAAGATATTTCCTAATGCTTCGATTGTTTTATGAATTCTAAGAAACATTTTACTTTATTTTTTTCTCAGTCAGCGCAGCCAAATTGATAATCTGGCGAATGGTCGAAAGCAGTTCCCTATTATGCCTTCATAAGCACTTGCTACGCTGCTAATTTCTAGGAAATGTGGCATATACATAATACAGTTCAATTATCAGCACGAGCGCAATTTCCAGTACATTTCCTTTTAACTTTTCCTAAGCACTTCATTCATCTTTAATTCCATACCTTATTATCATTAATGCGACTAAACCTACTAATAAAGGAATTGAAATTGAAATCTGTTTAATACGTTAACAGGGTTACTTACATCGCGTAGGTTAACAAGTTGAATTATTGTTTTGGCTTCCCTGCACCAGTTATCAAAAGCATTTTCTGGCCGATTTCCGATTATAAGTTTTTTTACTTGGAATTACATATTACTTAAAATTATTACTCTTAACATTATTTTCGAATATACCCAAATCGATCACAATCGAACGCCAATGACAAATTCTTGATTATGCCTGGAATTTAGCCAATGGCCCTTCTCTGCGCTTCTCAAAAAGGTTTCCTAGGCAGCAACTATTTAATTAAAGGCTTTTTTACTGGCTCTTCCCCCAGGGCCTCCAGTTCTTCGGGATCGGCGCAACATTTCCACGATTCCTGAACACCAAAATGATAGATAGTTTCGTGAAAATAGTGCTCTCCCGGATTGATGAAGATTCTTGGGAAATCTGGCTGATTAACGGCATCCGGATAGTTAAGTAGTTGCAGGCTAAAACCACAATGCTGCCAGTAGCGAGTACACTTTTTGCCCAAAATGGGCTCCTCACCAAGCGGTTCCTGGGGAAAATCGTTGGCGGTGGCAAATTTCACACTCGGCTGGTTGCTAAAGATCTCCATGAATCGACCCGATTCTGGATGCAGGAATCTGCCCACATAGCGAGTGATATTAGAATCGAACTCCTTATCGAGGGCATAACAAACATTGTAGCCCTTGACCGATCTCTTCTCAAACTGACGCACTCGATCGCCCATGGAGACTGGTAAACGGATATCATATACGGAATCATTAACGTCACTAAACTGACCCGTGGGAAATCCATCGCCACCAGAAGTGTCCATCGTTTCCAATGCCTCTATGGTGATGGAATGATCGAAAATACCCTTGATTCCGGTGCTCTGGCCAGCGAGATTGAAGTAAATGTGATTGGATATGTTCACCGGCGTAGTCTGGTCGGTGGTGCCCTCGATGCGTATAAAGAACCGGTTGTCATCGTCGATGGTGAAGTGAATATAAACTTTCAGGGTGCCGGGAAATCCCTCGTGTCCATCCTGTGAAACGTGTCGCAAGGTGATACCATCCGGTCGTTTCATATGCAGATCCCAGATGACCTGGTCGAAGCCCACAAAGCCGCCATTAATCTGGTGCTTCTGTCCCAGATTCTTCGACACAATGATCCTTCGTTCATCCATTATGAACTCACCATTTCCCACCACATCCGTGACCCTTCCAAGTGTGCATCCAAATTTGTAATTCCTAAACTTATTGTAACCAGCAATATCGTCGAATCCGAGGACCACATCCGACAACTGGTGATAGGCATCTGGGGCTTGAATACTCTGGATCGTGGCTCCCAATTGGATTATGGACACCGATAGACGATTGGTGTTGGTCATTGTATAGCGACGAATTACCTGCGCCTTCTTCGTAAACGGATTGGTCGCAATCCCGAAAATGTCCTCCACAACCTTGACCATAATTAATGAATTTTGTTTAATTTTGAATTTAGTACAAAGTTTTTTTTATACTTTTTTGAAGTCTGTTCGAAAGTGTTACAGCAGAGTTGTCAAAAAATATAAAGATAAGTAGATATTATGGGTCTTTTCAACATAAAATCAATAAGTTATAGCTTATGGAATAAATCATGGAAATCAAAGAAATAAAAACAACCTTTAGCCTTCATCTCTTTAAATTATCCGTTTGACAAGGCAGTCATGCTGGTTACAATTTAACCTGCATTTCAACTAACTTGTCATACCGCTTTAAAATCACACAAATTCTGACATTTTAAAGTGAAAAACGAACGAAGGGTAATTAATATGGGCACTTCTGACAGTTATAATATAAACGTGAGCTTTGTTGAGTTCAGCGAAATAATTTGATTCAGTGAATGTGTCCGTTTATTCTAGGAACTTGTTGTGGCTAATAATTAAATTAATATCTCATTTTTAGGTAAACTTGAGCTCGTAAAAAATAGTTAAAGTACAAAATGTGTGAAAGAAATTAAAATAAAAACCAATGAACAATTCAATTAAACCTTAAATAATCTATAGATCTGTCCTTAAACACAAATGCATATTTGTATTAAATTATTTAAGTGGCTTATCATAAATTCAGTTGTTAATTGCACCCATCAAAGCTGTTTACTAGAGATTACCAACTCCCTCAGTGAAACGATATCGTGACAATTTGTTGATTCGAGTGGCGTCGTTGAGTGCATGCCACCTGTTCGTACATCGCACCCATTGTCAAGATAGATAAGTGAGTTTCTCAAATGCCGGTGCGCTTGCATCGAACTATCTTATCGTACCGGTTCACAAAATAAAAGAATGTGATTTATTGGGACCCAGGAACACAGCACCAGTGCTTAATCAAAAATTGGTGCGAAATAAGCAAGCTACGAATCATTATTCAGCCAATAACCATGACAGGAATTATTATCATTTATAATGGCAATAACTGAATAATTGAATACGCTGCGATATGTGACGGAGACAAGAAAAAAAAAGAGTAATTGCCATCAATTACTCTGACCTTGCCCCATTACGGCTTCTTCGACAGCTGTGTTGTTTTTCACACTACACTTGAATAAATTATGATTAGATAATGCACTAAATTATGGTAATTATAGTGCAATTAAAATGCTGAATCTGAATCGATATTCCATTAATTCTGTCAGATTTTTTTTGCAATTCTGATTATTTTAAAACGAGTGTTTTTTATCTAAGTTAGAATTAGCATTTAAAACACATTTTCGTTCCCCCCTTTATTAATGCAAATATTCTATTAAAATTGCAGAAAAATCTGCATAGCTATAAGCAGACTATTTAAAACGTCACATTTTCAGGATCTTCATATTAAGGTATGCATTTTTTTTTTCAAGTGGAGAAAGTGAAAGGAGAGAGTGGGGTATAATGACCATACATATGTACCTGCAGTTATTGTAATGGCTCTGCCAGTGGCTTCTTCCCCATTGTTCGTTTCTGTCCGTGTCCGTGCCCCCGTGTCCGCATTCCACATCCGCGTCCGTGCCCCCGGTTCCGTATCAGGGCTCATTGGCCATACGGCAAAACGGTGTGCAAATAAATGCAAAATCATGGCTCGTCATCCACATCGACACCGCACCGTCACAGTTGTCGACACAGTTGGCCATTGTCGGGCAAAGTTCATCGAGGCGAATGCCAATGTCGCAGGGTCTTTGGAGCTTTTAGTTGCTACTTCACCTTTGCTATTTCGCTGGCAAAAGGTAAATGTTTGCCGATAAGAACTGTCATTCGAATCTATATGGCCTTGATATTACGGAGCTTGGGTTGCTCGCCTTGAATTTAAAGCCAGCAGGGAAGGTAATAATTGTAGCCGGAATAAAATCTGGCATCAAAAAGTTCTCTGTAAATAATAAATGAGACTAGCATATCTCCAGAAAGGTCAGCACTTAAAATCAACACAGAGGAGGTCCTTTTTTAATTAAGATGGAAGGGTAGTGGATTTTCCTATCAACATAGGATTTCTATGTCTAGGTAATTGTAATAAAAAAGAAAATTACATTTTAATGGATAAGCTTAATTTGTTTATTTAATGAATACTTGATGACTTTGTTATAAAACTCTGAAAATTTGTATTACTATGAGGAAGACTAATAAAAATCCAAAGGTTATTATTAGATTTTATTTATTTATAAAAACAAGATATTATTATAGATAGATTCTAAAAGGCTCATTAATAGATATTAACTTTATTACGTTTTGCATTATCTGTATATCTGGATAGTTTATAGAAATATCTTAAGATATTTAGTTCTAGACGAAACACTCAATAAGTTTATTATTATGCGCCTGTTTATGTTTATATTATCTCAGCTCGTAAACCTATTTTTCCGCCTCGAAGCTTTTAGAAGTCTATAAATAAGGCGCTGGCCAAGTCATTGGAACTGTAATATCAAATGTTGATTTGGCACAAGTAAACTTTTCAATCGCAATTGATTTAATGCATTGATTATGACACATTTAGACCATGAATCACTTTGATAACGTTGCCTTGCGTCCATGTCTTAGCGTCATTAGCAAAAGTCTAGTTAATCTCAGACCGGATATGCAAATATCAGTATGCATTCCCTTGTACGATTCCCATGTTGGGTCCGCCTTATGCGACCCCGATGCAATGTCAAGTCAACGATTATGGTGGCGGATCGGAACATGATGGCTTACACCACCCCAACAAGTTGTTACACGCAGAGAAAATATCTCAAAACAAAAAATACTTTAAAAAAAAAAAAGCGATCCGCTTTTTCAGAGAATAAGGATTATATTCTTTTGAGTTGATTTTATGATTGTATTAATTAATAGATTCATGATTAAGATGTAATATTTTTTTCTTAGAATTTATCAAGAACAACTATGTATAAAAAGGTTGTAAATCTTTATGTAAACGAATTTAATTGATTAAGTATATATATATATATATATATATATATATATATATATTTCTTTCTGTGAAGTTTTATCTGCCCCCGAGCCCCGGTTTTTTAGCACGCCCTGCTCATGTCTAACCCCGATTATGTTTTGCTTGGCATTGCACTGGGGGGCAATAGGAAAGGAGGGACTGGGGCGGGATTATAGTGGGTGGTGCCGGAACCTTAAGCTGTCTAAAGTCGTTCGCTTTACATATTTACATGCAGGCATGACTGTACTACCAGTTAGCATTTGCACACTGCTAAGGCTGCCCGATGATTTTCCAAGGGGATTTTAATTCGCAACAACAGCTCAGCCCGAATTCTGGAACAGTTGCTAGTAACTGATTAAATTTTAATTTTATTTTTTTAAATTTAATTTATTAATAGGGTAATATGATAATAAAAGCGATACATTTTCTGTAATGAGCTTGAAACTTGTACAGTCTCTTGAGATAATATTATCTTTCATAATAACTTAAAACTAATTTGATTGGCTTTCTTATCGATTTCAGATGCCTGGACTTGTGGTCTTCAGACGTCGCTGGTCTGTGGGCTCTGATGATCTCGTGGTGCCGGGCGCATTTCTCCTGACGATTCATTTTATATGGTGAGGAGACGCATACCGATTTTTCTCATCACCCCTTAATTGTTTCTAAATATATTTCATGTTCTTATTTTTCCTTCAAAACAACAAAAAAAAAACCGATTGTTGTGACAGTTTTGTGATTGTTAGCGTCTCGTTGGTTATCTTTGAGTATAATACACGAATTTTAAGTGTAAAATTATTGTTCTATCATCTAATAGGCTACTTGTTGATTCTATTTTGTAAGTATAAAATTCCGAAATCCGAAATCAAAGGAACCCATCTTGATAAATCCATTTGCAGTTTCAATATGTGTAGAAATAGGTATATGTGTGATCTCGATGCGTGGCAGTATTCTGGATGCCGAGGCGCGCACCTCGATCAACATCTGGATATATCTCAAGAGCTGTAAGTTGTTATCCCTGCATAAGTTCTTACTTCTAACTAATTATCTAATCTAATTATTTTATAATATTTTCCTTTCATTTCAGTGGTAATTCTGTTCGATATTGCCTGGCTGGGGGTGGGCTCCGTTTGGCTGGGCCATTACTACACCACTGCCCCCATCGATGATCCCAAAAAGGTCTACATAGGTGAGTTATATGGCAGCTTTATCAATAATGACAATAATATTTATGGAACTTATAAAACATTTTCCAAATTTCTTAATGTTCACTCAGTGTTTAAAAGTAAATTATTATTATTTGCATTACAATAGCTGGAATTCACACCTAGTAAATATTTTTTTTCATTAAACTATTTGCGTTTTATATCTGTAGTTAATTATTGTTAACTACATGTGCTACATTGTTGCTACATGTGCTGCATGTTAAAGTGCATATAAGAGAGATTACGTGTTTTAGCAAGTTTTTAATTTACATGTTTTATTAGAACCGGTCTTGAATAAATATATTGTGCAATTTGATTTGGTCATTAATCAATTCTATAATTTATGATGGATTTAATCGAATTTCCCTGAACTAGCAAACATTAATACATTAAAACTATTGACAACATGTACTTCTAAAATCCTGGTAACATAAATGTATTAATTACTTATAGATATTAAATTAGTATTTGTAATTTTACTAAAATGTAAAATTCTTTAATTTGTTTCGGATATTTTTCCCTTTCTTCCCATAGCCATCATCATCTGCAATTGGGCTCTGGTGGTGATCACCCTCATCACGATATGGTGCACCTTCGATGCAGCCGGAAGATCCTGGGTAAAGATGAAGAAGTACCAGCGATCAATGCGCGAGACGGAGTCTCGGTTAAATTATAAGCGGAGCAATAGCATGAATCGCAACTGGCGGCAAAGGTAAGTTACTAAATTTGTATATATATATTCGATTTGTATCACAAACATCTATTTTTTTTTACAGAAAAGTGAATCGCGCCTACCAGGACAGCTGGGACCATCGCTGCCGTCTGCTGTTCTGCTGCATGGGCTCCTCGGAACGCAACCGGAACTCGTTTACGGACATCGCTCGCCTGCTGAGTGACTTCTTCCGGGAG